GCTGATGGCTCAGAGCCTGGAGCCTGCTTCCGATTCTGTGTCTCCCTCTCTCTCTCCCTCTCTCTCTCTGCCCCTCCCTGGGTCACACTGTCTCTCTCTCTCTCTCAAAAATAAACAAACATTAAAAAAAAAAGACAGCGATGGGTGGATACAGAGAAGTGGCTGCACAGAGATGTGATGATAAAGCAAATACAGTAAATGCTGGGGGCTGTGGAATCCACATGGCGAATAAGAGGGCGGTGGCTATGCAGTCCCGTCACCTTTCCTGTATGTGTGACATTGTTCGTAATGAAGTGTTGAGAGGGGGAAGGAAAAATAAGAAAGCGTGAGCGGACTGGTGTTGGCCATTTGACTTCACCTGAGGAGTGGGATTAATTCAACAATCAGTACTTCAGGTCAGAAAGGACACTCCTCCCCCAAAGTTATTTAATTAATGAAAACGTTTGCCACCCAACCTTGGCGACTGTTTGCAGTTACTCCTGGGCTGTGGACCATTCATCAAGACGGAGAAGTCCTGCTGAGGCTATCAAAACATGGGGCAGGCCATGAGACCCCAATGACCATCCCTGCATTTTTTCGGGAGTCAGTCAGCCGATTTGGGGCCTACCCGGCCCTCGCAACGAAGAACAGTGAACGGTGGGAAACTCTGAATTTCAACCAGTATTACGAGGCCTGTCGGAAGGCGGCGAGAGCCTTGATCAAGGTAAATGAGTCATTCGCTCATTCATTCATCATTCAGTCATTCATTCTACACACACGTACATATGGTATAAAATGCACGAAGTACCATAAGACGTGAAGGTTAACCGGTGAGATTTTTTCCCTTTGGCCCTTGACCCATCCGTTATGAAGGCAGCCACCACTGCCAGCTTCTATAAATCCTTCTGGGAAATAAATGATATGTGTGTATTATAAAATTTCTCTATATGCAAATTTTTACATGCACAGTAGCCGACTGTAGGCACGATTCTGAATCTTTTTTTTTTTATCTCTAGGTATTAGCTACTGCTGCGTAACAAATTACCCCCAAATTTAGTTTTAGAGTCTCTCACAGTTGTAGTCGTCAAGCTGTCATCTAAAGGCTCGAGTGGGGCTTCAGGGCCCACTTGTAAGTTTATTTACATGGCTGGCTGTTGGCAGGGGACCGTGGTTCCTCGCTTCCGGGCCTTCTCCATGGGCTTGCTTGGGTGTCCTCAGCTTACAGCAGCCAGCTTCCTCCAGAATGAGTGATCCAAAAAAACATGAACAAGATGGGAACCACGATGTCTTCCATTACCTAATCTTAGTAGTGACCTACTATCCTTTCCACATTCTACTGGTCACGCAGACAAGCATTGATACAGTGTGGGAGGGGATTACACAAGAATACAAACCCCAGGAGAGGACCATCTTGGAGGCTGGCTGCCACCCTCTGAGATCCTACTACGTTGATTTACCACCAAAAACAAAACAAAACAAAACAAAACAGTCCATGCTCTTTCAACAAAATACGCAGATACGTATGTAACAACATTGGCATAACCAGCCCCCTACTGGTGGGCATTTACGGTGTTTCCACGCTTTGCCGCCATATATGGAGCCACACAGAAGCTTCTTTATACAATGAATTCTTTTTTTTTTTTTTTAATTTTTTTTCAACGTTTTTATTTATTTTTGGGACAGAGAGAGACAGAGCATGAACGGGGGAGGGGCAGAGAGAGAGGGAGACACAGAATCGGAAACAGGCTCCAGGCTCTGAGCCATCAGCCCAGAGCCCGACGCGGGGCTCGAACTCACGGACCGCGAGATCGTGACCTGAGCTGAAGTCGGACGTCTTAACCGACTGCGCCACCCAGGCGCCCCGATATACAATGAATTCTTATAGCAACAGTGCCTCTGTATGCCCACTCATAGGGTGTGACAGAATCTGCTTACCTATTATTCTTGCCAACATCACATTATACAAAATGTTCATATTGGCTACTTTGATGGGCATGTTAGGCAGAATTCTACAATTACCCCCAAGATTCCCAACCCCTGGTATATACAGACAGACTCTTCCCCCTTGAGTATGCACAGAGCTTGTGACTATGATGAGATTTCCCTCCTGTGGTGGCAAAGGTGAAGAGATTTTGCAAATGAAATTGGGCTCTCTGATCGGTTGACTTGGAGTTCATCAAAATGGTAAATGCTCTGGGTGGGCCTGACCTAAGCAGGAAAACCATTAAAAGAAAGATTCTTCTGCTGGCTTTGAGGAAGCAAACTGCCATGTTGTGGACAGGGCCATGTGGTAGGGTATGGCAGACAACCTCTAGGAGAGCAGTCCCCAGCTGCCAGCTAGTGAAAAACAGGACCTCAGTCATTTAACCCCAAGGGAATGAGTATTGCCAACAATCTACAAGTGTGGAAGAAGATTCTCAAGCTTCAGAGGAGACCACAGTCCCCCCTGATGCCTGAACTGCAGCTTCAGGAGATCCTTAGCAGTGGACCCAGTTAAGCTATGCCCAGATTCCTGACCCATGGAAACTGAGATAATAAATGTGTGTTGTTTTAAGCTGCTAAGTTTGTGGTGATGTGTTATGCCCCAATTGACCATGAATGTGATAAGTGTCTCCTACGGACGTAAAAGGGAATGCCTGGTGGTTTTGATTTATAGGAATTGCTACCACATTTGGACCCAGACCTGAGTTCCCCTCTCCCCTCCCCTGACACCCATGTGCTTTTGCCGAGAGCCTATGAGAGGTCACCACTGAGAACCATCTGTTAGCACTGACTTTCTGCTTGGCTGCCTCACCACAGTGCTGTGATTAGTTCACCTCTCCTGAAAGATGATCCTCTTTAGCTATGCCCTTAGATCTGGGGTTTAAAGACCCCTTCTCTCTTAATCCTCAGGGATCTGATCAGTAATAAATCAGTTTATCTGCACGTTAACAGAGACTCTCTACCTACAGAGAAGACAGCCTATTTGTCATTAAGCAGAAAGACTTGTCATCGCATTCGGAAGCATCAGCAAGCGGATGCCTTTCAAACACTTACAGGTTCCCCAAGAACAGTGGGTCATTGCCAGCCTTGCCAGCATATAACTAAACCAGCCAACGATGGAACGCCTGGGGGGCTCAGTCTGTTGAGCATCTGACTTCTACTCGGGTCATGATCTCACGGTTTGTGGGTTTGAGCCCCGCAACGAGCTCTGTGCTGACAGCTCGGAGCCTGGAGCCTGCTTCAGATTCTATGTCTCCCTCTCTCTCTGCCCCTCCCCGACTTGCGCTCTCTGTCTCAAAAATAAACAAACATTAAAAATAAATAGATAAAAGAGCCAACGAAGTTAGTTTTCCCAAACTCCATGGGGCCACATTGGGAAAAGCCAGTGCTGAGCCTAAAATCTGGGGTGTGACAAAACCTGGGCCTCCCCTCAGGAGGGAGAGGTTTCCTAGTTCATCCTCAAGCCCACTCAGACCAAGGCTACGCTTTAAAAAGTGCAATTTATCACCACTACAGGCTATCACTCTAAGTACTTTTGTTATTACAAATAAAAATAAATTCACACCTATTAAGGTGGTCATTTAAAAAAAAAAAAGAACAAAATAGCAGGTGTCAGGGAAGCCGCGGAGAAAGCATTGCTGGTGGAAATGTATAATGGTGCAGCCCTTACGGAAGACGGTGGGTGGTTCCTCAAAAAAATTAAACATGGGCTTACATTTCACCGAACAATTCCCAAAAGAATTCAAAGCAAGGACTCAAGGAGGTGTTTGAACACGATGTTCACAGCCGCCAAAATGTGGAGGCAATCAAGTGTCCACTGGTGGGTGAATGGATGAGATACAGTGTGGCCCGTCTATACAATAAATTACTATTCGGCCTAAAGATGGAAGGACGTCCTGCCGCCTGCCAGCACGTGGACGGGCCCGGAGGCCACTGTGCGCAGTGACAGAAGCCAGACACAGGACACGTCCTGCATGACCCCACTCATACAGGAGGTCCCTAGAGGAGTCCCATCCGCAGAGACAGAGAGTAGATGGTGGGTGACCGGGGTGGGGCAGGGGGTGGGGAGTCTGTGCTTCATGGGGGACAGAGGCTCAGTCTGGGGCGATGGAAAGTTCTGGAGACGGGTGGTGGGGGTGGCTACACGACAGTGAGTGTGCCTGACGCCAGTAAGCTGTGCACTAAAACCTGGTTAAGATGCATATTCATGCTATAGATGGCTTACCATAATAAAAAATAAAATATATACAAATAAGAATAAATAAATGGGGCCTTGCGTAGAGGGAGGCGAACCACCCTCTCAAGGGTCACACAAGTATCACACCCCAGATTTTAGGCTCAACACTGGCTTTTCCCAGGGTGACCACATGGGCTCTGGAGCCTGCTTTCACACATCCAGGGAGCAGGTCCCACTTGGAAACAACAGGTCTTTGTGTTTCTGTTTTCTGCTTATCTGTCTGTTTTCTCGCCTTCCCAGCTGGGCCTGCAGCGTTTCCATGGAGTTGGCATCCTGGGGTTTAACTCCGTTGAGTGGTTTATCGCTTCTCTTGGTGCCATCTTAGCAGGGTAAGACTACGGGCTTGGTTGACTCTGAATGTGGGTGGGCCACTGCTCAGGGCCCAGCCGCCGTGGGCTCCCTCTGACGGAGATGTGACCGAGGATTCAGGTGCAACCCCAGGTTAGCAGGCAAGACAGACACAGCAACCAATGTGACAAAGGACCAGCATCTCAGATACATAAGGCGCTTCTGTGACTGAGTAATAAATTTTTAACGTTTGTTTTTGAGACAGAGATAGAAAGAGACAGAGTGCTAGCAGGGGGAGGGGCAGAGAGAGAGGGAGACACAGAATCCGAAGCAGGCTCCAGGCTCCGAGCTGTCAGCACAGAGCCTGACGCGGGGCTCGAACTCACAGATCTCGAGATCATGACCTGAGCTGAAGCTGGAGGCTTATCCAACTGAGCCACCCAGGCGCCCCAGGGAAACGCACATTTAAAAACCAGAACTGTCAAAAGCAAGAACAAAAGGCAATAAAATGGAGGGGAACAGGTGGCTGAGTATAGGTCCAAATCCCACTTCTAGCATCTATTGCTAGAACAAAGTGCCCTATAAAATGCTCATCTATAAAGTGAGACACTGTGTGGGCTCCGTGATCTGCCGTCACAATGACATTATAGGAGCTGCTGTTTCCATTACCCTCATTTTTGCTGTTCTCATCCTGGTTAACTTGTGGAGGGAGGTAAGCTGGTGCCAAGGTTGCAAACTCAGAACTTGCCTATAGACCCTTCCCCTCCCCCACCTTCCAGGACATTCTCACTTTAAAGCGCGCGCGCGCGCGCACACACACACACACACACACACACACACACACGTTTTCTTTTCCCAGGGGCCTTTGTGTTGGTATTTATTCTACCAACTCTGCGGACGCCTGTCAATACATCATTACTCATGCCAAAGTGAACATCCTGCTGGTTGAGAATGACCTACAGCTACAGAAAATCCTTTCGGTAAAACCTTAACCCAAACACTGTCCGCCAGTCACCCAAGGGGACCTCAGGGCTCTGGCTACATGTCTTGTCGCTCCCAGGTGGATGCAAGAGATAGGTGGGGTGAGGGGGCTGGCCCCATTCTCGGGTTCACTAAGGCTACTTTGGTGTGAGTAGGGGGAGCAGGGTGAAGCCAGGGAGATTTAATTTCTGACTCATGTTAACTCTACTTCCTAAGCTTCTATTTTCAGAATATGTTTATGTACAGTCTGCTGTTTATTTTCTTTTAGAAATGTAATTATTTTGAGACTTACACCCCTTGTAATTATATTTTTTGTAACTGTCGTAATTTCTAAAATGCTTGTCTTTCTCTTCTATTTCTTCCTGTTTCACCTTTTTCTGGTGTGGCTCTCTCTTCCCTCGGTGCTTGTATGTTTGCTTTGTGTTCTTCCTTCCCAGCTGTGTCTACTTTGTTTTAAATTTTATGTTGGAATGTGGGGTGGCAATTTTCCTTTGCTTTGTGGTGACTTTTCTCTGTGTCCAAAATTTGGCTCCTCTCCAATTCCCCTTTTTTTTCTTGTAGTATCTTCGTATGGATGTTGTAGAAAGTTTCTCAGTTCCTAGTATTTGAATGAGCTGCACTTTCCTGACCCATCTTTTGGCAGGAAGATCCTATGGGAAGGGGAATCCTCAGGAGGGTGAGCCTAGGTGACCAGATTCACCACTCAGCCCAAGGGCCCCCTGGCTGCTTGCATCAACACCGTCTTTCTGGATTACACACTTCTCTACTTTTTAAGGTCTCTGGAGTTGAGATGTATCTTGCCGTCAATGGCATCCTCCAATCACCGCTGGCATGTCTGCCCACATTTTAACGTCTCTGAAATTAGGGCAGACTTTCCAGACTCATGAAATCAGCTAGACCCAGTGAAACAGACCACTTGGCAGCCAAGCCTCCTTGGATGCCTAATCCTTGACCTGGTTCAGGGAGAGCAGACTTCCCCCCTCCAGCCTTGAGCTTTCTCAAATTGCTTTCTTTCTTCTTTTAAAAAAATTTTTAATGTTGATTTATTCTTGAGAGAGAGAGAGAGAGAGAGAGAGAGAGAGAGAGAGAGAGAATGAGTCAGGGAGGGGCAGAGACAGAGGGAGACATAGAATCCAAAGCAGGCTCCGGGCTTTGAGCTGTCAGCACAGAGCCTGATGTGGGGCTCGAACTCACGGACTGTGAGTCAGATGCTTAACTGAGCCACCCAGCCGACCCTGAAATTGTTTTAAGTGATGCATCAGTGGTCCCTGACACTCATGTCACTCCCTGTTTGTTCTGTTCATAGCAGAACAAACAGTGGGGTGGATGAAGAGTGGGGCTTACAATTTGGGTTTTCCACCATTAGAAAATACTGCGGATCCTTCGTATGCAAGATTCAAAGCCAGGCTTCTAACACGCTCCTCCCAAACTGGATGTTCAGTTCCATTTGGAAATCTTTGATTCTGGGTGATACTCGTGGCTTACAGTCCTCCAACTCTAGGGGGCTAGAGACTTTACACAGTCCTCAAACATCCCCAGCCACTGCCTGCTCCAAGCTTTCTAGAGGTCTGTTCTCTTCCTCTCCAGAAACCTCCTGTCTGACCGTCATGAGCGCTTCTGTCCTCTTTTCTCTCAATCCACACGGGGGTCTTGGTTATAATTGTAATTACCACACTGGGTGCTGGAAGTGACTTCTGTCATGGCACAGAGCCATACCCCTTCCTCTGCATCAACAGGATACAAGAATCCTGCAGGCGTGCTCAACCGAACCTTGGCGTCTTAGGCGTTGGTAGAAAGTCCTCAAGTTGTCCAGGTCCCGGTCACCTTCACAGAGAATTTTTGTTGCCCAATTCCAGCTAGAAGGTTAGCTGGCTCCTGGCCGCACAGCACAAGGGGCAAGGTCACCAACCAACAGCCACAGCTGTGTGTGTGGCAGAACCCAGGAGGCTGTGGGCTTCGCCAGCCTTTAAGTGCAGGATGCCATTGATACGGACCACAGGGAACCCAGCAGTCCAGAGACCAGGGCGTGTCCTGTCAGTCGGGACAAACAGCAGTGCTGTACAGGGTGGGCAGGACAAAGAAAGGAGGCTGGGGCGGCTGTGGGAGATTGCTTGGGACGGGCACCCGCCTTCAATCTCTCCCAGGGCCAAGAGGCCCACGCGAAACTTTCTTTCAGATTCCGCGGGGCAGGATGGAGACCCTAAAAGCGATCATCCAGTACAAGCTGCCAATGAAGGAGAGCAGAGAAAACCTGTACTCTGTAAGTGTGGGAGTGGGGGGGGACCTCGCAAGGGAAGATGTGTGCTCTGGTTATTTATTGCTGTGAAACAAATCTCCCCCCCAGACTGACGGCTTAAGACAACAACGATCATTTTGTCATTCATTCTTTTTCAGAGCGTTAAGGTCATTGAAAAAATAATGCCTCGTGGGAAATTAGGTGTGTGAAAACTCACAGCATTGAGTTTAAATATTTACTTTAGGGGCGCCTGGGTGGCTCAGTCGGTTGAGCGGCCGACTTCAGCTCAGGTCATGATCTCACGGTCCGCGAGTTCG